CCTGGGATAGCAGTAGAAGATGTATCAAGTCCTTGGGCCCCTGCACCTGCATGGGAGGCCCGGAGAAGGTTCCTGGCTTCGGATCATTGCAGCTCTGGCCGTTGCGGCCACCTGGGGAGTGAACCAGCAGGTGGAAGACCTCTCTCTATAACTCTGTCTTTCAAATAGATACAATAAATCTTTAAAAAATAAAAAAAGGGTTAGCAGATCTTAACTGCTTAGCACAACACTTGAAAATAGCAATTGCTTATTGATAAATATTAGGCAGATTTCGAGATAGTGGAGATAATCGTTTCTTTATAAGAGTACTAACTGCTCTTGTGAGAAATTAGAACTAGGGAAAAGAGTTGGGATTATGGAAACACCCATCCAGCCCAAAGCTGCTGTATTTTACTTAATGATGGGAGTCAGTAACTCTGTTCTACTCAGAATGTTTCTTTTGTTAGTCTGTGTCTATGGGCAAGAGTGAAACCTTTTCCACCAAGTCATCAAAGCAGTGTTCCTTTTCAAAGGTTCAGGGCCAGACCCCACACTTATCTGTAGCTTTTTATCTGAGGAAGCAAACGTATGGGGTTGAGCAGACAGGAACCTGCAAAAAGAAAAGTCCTAGATTTCCTCAGAGAAACTTTGAATCAAATTAACATTACCTAAGGATATGTTCCCAAGTTGCTCTTATCATCAAAAGCCTTAGTATTTTTTGGCTCTATTAGAGGTGGGCGTATTTTTTTAAAACCATCTATAGTATTCTGAATCCTGAATACTGTTACAGTGAAGGCCTGAGCGCACAATTCTGAAAATACACAGACATCACCAGTGTTGGAAGTCAAATGCTCTAGGAAAAGAGGAAAATCTTTGGTTACCACTGTGGGCTACAAGGAATTGTAACTGCTTTGGGTGTCTGAATGGTTATCGTGACATTTGAGAAAGAGAAAGTAAGCTGTGGATTTGCATAAGACCAACAGATTGCTTGAATTCAGACTCACTGGTTATAAATCATCTTACAATGATATAATTTTAATTGACACCTAATTGTACAGTAGTTTGGGGTACAATGTGACATTTCGATACATGTGTATTATATGTAATGAGCAGGTCAGAATACAAATGTTTGTCATTGCTTTGTGTTGGGACCATTGAAAAGTCCACATGAGCTAGTTTGAAATAAACAAGGACTTGCTGTCAATCAGAGTCATACTACTGTGCTAGAGGACGTTAGAAGTTCCTGTAAAACTACTCACCGAGAGCTGGTGACCATCCTCCTTCCACCCACACTGTTCTCGGGCTCTGGTAACCAGTGTTCAACTCCGCACTTCTTTGAGTTCAATGTTGTAGATTCCACATCCAAGTGAGAACGTGTGGTATTTGTGTTTCTATCTCTAGGTTAACTCACCTAATGTTCCTCTGGCTCATCCTTGTGGCTGAATAATGTTCCATCTCCTATAAATGTACCACATTTTCTTTATCTATTCATCTATCTTGAACATCTAGGCTGTTTCATTGCTTGCCTCTTGGAGAAAGTGTTCTAAGAAATCTGAGTGTTCCTTCGACATACTTGTTTCAGTTCCTTATATAGAAACCAATTCTTTGTGTATTTTTTTTTTTTTGATCACTCCTCTAGGTAGGTGTGTCAAGAAATGATGCATGTACCATGTACCACAAAATGACATTAATGAATTATCAGCAAGGAACAGTTGTAATGCAGGGTGGATTACAAAAGTATGCATTGGCAAATAGAAAACTTATTTCTATTAGGAGTAGCTGACTACCAGACTTGAAATTACTGTGATAGACTGGCTGATGGGTTGACTTAGTTTTTACCAAAGTAATTCACTCTTGTTGCTCCCCTAAGTGGAGTAACAAGACTAAAGCTAGGCCCTGTCTGCAGGTAGATCTTCTTATAACCTCACTCTTCAAGACTACTTCTGGTTGTAATATTTGGTTCCACTGCATGGGCAGAATATTGTATTCATACACATTCATGTTAGAGATCTACAAAGCAAGCTCTGGGAAGTGAGACACAGGGAGGGTAAAAAGTGGAGACCAGAAGTCAGTATGTGGAAGAGTATGTGTATAGAGTTTGCTGGTTCCATTTTGGGGTGAAACTAGGGTATGGACCGGATAGAAATTGGTGCTGGGGAGAGTGTCACCCAGTATACAGAGGAGAGAAACTTGTTTATTGTCAGAAGCAGAGCAGAAGATGAGTAACTGTCCTTGCAAAGTCAGGGTCTAACTCTTTCCTGAAAAACACTTAAATCATGTCTGTTGGCCCATAGAAATTAGAAATTAATATGTATCTCTTAGAATTTAAATATGCCACAAATGTAATGTTAGTGTATACTTTGTTTTTTACTGGAGTTATGCATTATTTTCATACACTTGCTTGCTGTCCTTAAAATCTGTATCACCTGGGCTTCAGTTTTTGACAGAAGCTCACTAGATTTTCATTAACTCACCCGTGTGCATTCAATGCTGTAGACCCAACTGTTATAATGGCCATTCTGCAAAGTCCTCTAACAGTCTAATTTGTAGCTGGCTATGCTTTTTCATTACTACTTCCTAAACTCACTCGTTTCCTTCTCCCATAAATTTTAATACCTAAGATATACTATGTTAACTGCTGCCTTCTCAAGGATCACAAACTCTTACCACCTCCTTGCCATTTTTTCCTGCTTTGGGGGCTAGTGATCCTAGTTTTAAACCAATCCAAATGGCATTTGTATCCCCTTCTCACTTCTTTTCTCTAAGCCCCTGGATGTGAACCAGTATATGGGTTCCATTCCAGAAGGAAACACTAAGAGAATATGCTTACCCCTTATGTAAGGCAAATAATGGTATATCTGTCCAACGTGGAATGAAATTCAATTATGTGGTTGGAGGTACACCTTGCTGCCACTGTCAGTTCAGTGAACTGATTTAAATCAGGTGGTGTTTCCACTGTTCTTTCCTGTAATCCTGTACTTAGTGTGTCTAGCTAAAACATGAAGTTTTCTGGCAGCACCATGCACTGGAATTGTCATGGATATTCATTTGCTGGGGTAAAGCATTGCAGGCTCAGTGGATTACACAATGTCACCATACTTCCTCACGTTCTTCAAGCTACAAATCTGAAATCAATCCAAGTGGCAGCATGGTTGATGTCGCCTTAGGAGATTCTCCTTGGCTTACAGACGGCTATCTTCCCACCCTGTTTTCACAGGCCCTTCCAGCTGTGTACTTCTGTGTCCAAACATCATCATCTTAAAGGGCCATCAGTCACATTGGATTAGACCCATCCTAACAACATAATTTAATTAGCCTCATTATTTCCCTAAGGTCCTGTCTCTCAAATTCAGACATACTGGGGTTTAAGATTGAGCATAGGATTAAGATTAATGGTATGAATTTGGAGGAGATGCTATCATCTAAGATAAAATAAAGAAACTAGTATAAATGTAAACACAGACTGTGACTAAAACTGATCTGTCCAAAGCCCTACTCTGTCCCTTACTAGCTGTATGTCCTCCAGCAATTAACTTAAGCTGATGTAAGTTCTCATTAACTGTGTAATAGTTACCCCATCCCAAAAGGTGCAGTGAGGACCATGTTTAATTAATAAAGTATGATATACCCATACACAACAGCTGTTTAGAGTAATTGCTCAATAGCTGGGAGTAGTTTATTTTTTCTCTTGAATATGGACCCTGACCTCAGTGCATTGAGAACAGTAAGATTATAAAGTCTGTTAGTACTGTTAATATAAAGGAGGGGGGAAAGAATGAGCATTGATTGGGCAACTATAATCTATTACGTATTCTTTTGCGCATAGAGGATCCCCAGTCTTTTTCTGATGTGAGATCTGTAGATTACTGTATAGTCACCAGTTGTTCTAGTTACTAAACACTCTCCATTCTACAGTATTTGTCATGCATGCAGGGTTTGCCATGTACAGAAAGCAGTCTTCCCACCTTTGTAGCCAGAGCCCTGCTCACTGAATCCCCTCAGTTTCCTCTAACAGAGCTTCTGCAGTGCTCATATTCTCATTTTTACAACTGTCTCCAGTTGAACTATTGATGCAGTCCAAATTTGTCCTGCTCTCTTCAGAAACAGCTTCACCGATGACCAAGGCTGTCGTGCAGTATCACTCTGATGATCTGCATTACTAATTCAGTTAACTGCAGCAATTACCTGAAGGAATTGCTACTAGTGAGAAAAGCCATTATGCTCTCCCTCACAGAATATATTCTGCAGTATTTAGTTGTTATGCTAGCCTACAGCTTCTTAGCTACCAAATCATATGCTTAAGGCTGAACACAGTAAACCCGGGAACCATCTCAAGATCACAGTCTGGTTCTGTGTTGTCTGGCTTTCTGTCATCCCTTTTCTGTTACTATCTGTATAGTTAGTACCTAGCACAGAACCCAGGACAGAGATTGTTGAATGAATCAACAGGATGAATGAGGCATATCTTGTTTTCCAATATCATTTTAAGTGTCTTAAGGGCAGTGGGAAAATGATGTCCTTATTTGTTAGTGTCCCAACTAGAAGGTGTCCTATATTGGGAAGAGAGAAATTTGTCTCCAATCCCATTTCTGTTCCTTCCAGGCTCTGTCACCTTGGACAGCGCCTATCAGCTCTCTGAGCTTCAGTTTCTATGTTTGGAAAACAAGATCTGAGATCGGATTGCCTGACCTCTCAAAGTGTCCTCCTGTCCTTCCAAGTCTCAAAACTGAAATTAAAGTCAGGATAGAGTCGGACCTCGCAGTGTGTCTTACAAGGATGAAATAGCCTTGAGTCTTCTAGGTCACTTGGGTGACTCATCTTGGGTCACTAAGTTTCTCAGAAGACCCACACAGGTGTAGTCACAGCGACCCAGAAGTTAAGAACTCTTCATCCTGCAGCACGTACTCTTTAGATAAGAGAAAATAGTAATAATAATGGGAGGTAGGACACAGTGATAAGTCTTTGATGGCTTTGTTCTTTTTCTCTCCCCCACCCCATTATTTTTTCTTTGACGTGAGCAGCCAACATCAGATGACCTTGTTTCATCTGCTGAATGTTCAAGTGATGACGAAGACTTCGTTGAATGTGAACCGAGTACAGGTAGGTCAGGTCAGTCTTGTTTTGCTTGCTTTTTTTCATTTGCAAAAAACAATACATACATATCTGTGATTGTACATGTGTTTTCTATATATAATGGTGCGTTGTATATATGTTTCATATATCTATATATGTATACGCATACATATATAAATATTAATATATAAACAAAGCATCACATCCCATGGAAGGAGCAATTAAGACCTCAGGATATTTTAAATTAGTCTCTTGATAGCTGAAAGAAAAATCCATGGTATTCAACCTAAGTGTAGACATTCAGATACTCTTTACCAAAATAGCCCATGTGTAGCAGCTGGTTGAAGCTATGAAAATGACAAGGGGCAGGCCTTGAAAAAGTCTGTATAACAATGGCGTCAAAAAAGCACGAACACAAAGTGGAGCCATAAATATGGGTAATGGTCACGAAACCTCAAGAGGTGTTCTGAATCTAAGCTACAAAATACAAAACATTTTCCATGGGATTTCCACAGCAGTGAACATGGTATTATATTTATACTAATTTTGTTGAATGTGTGCAGCAATAAACACAAAATTAGTACAGAACTATCCCTTGTCCACTGCTGAGATGCTACAAAATGTATCTAATGTGCTGAAGCGGAAAGGACGTGGAGAGGTAACAGCTTCAGTGTGTTCCCCAATTGGACTCAGATACATTTTGATGTCTTGTGGTCTTTTTTTATAGTGAGCTCTATATGATGTCCAGCAGGCAACTGCAGGCCCTAATTATGTCCTATCAACTTTCCCAAGTCATCTGTTTTGAGACTTACTATAAGTTAAACATGTATATGTCTATAATAGAGAACAGATATCATGGAATTTCTGTGTATGTTTAATGCAATCACAAGCTATAGTTGGCTTAGGATCTTATTTCTATAAAAGGCTAAAGAGCATTTTCTTGGTGGTTTTAATTTTTTGCTTTTCTTTAAGAGAAAGTGAATCGTTAAATCTTCTCTTTGGCTAAATCTCAAATTTAAGCTTTATGAAAAAGTTACATAGAAAAAATAAGAGCCTTCTATTTCTTACCCCAAAATGATTGACGAGATTTCAACTTTTGTTGAATTCCTGACTGCTTGGTTTCTCGTGAGTGGCTTTGGATCCAGGAAGTTCTGCGAGTTCCTGTCCCCTACTATTACCCAGGGATGTACCCACAGTACACTGACTCTTTCCAGTGTGGAGTGTGACAGGTCCCTTAGAGAGCTCAGCTGTGCGGAAGGAAAGTAAGTGTGACTTGGTTAGATTTTTTTTTCAAGGAGTAATCACTTTGTGTTAAGTGAGGTGTTCACTCTAGAAATCAGACACATCTATCCAACATCTTCAGCACCAAGTTTTCATTCAAAAATTAATTCACCATTACATTCAGTAACTGTTTCCAAGAACTGAAACAGGATTCCATATATCTTGAGATTTGAGTCCTCTGTGTATTCTAATAATTTTCACAAATTAGCTGTTTGGAAATAGGAGAGTTTGGCTAGCTGAATTACCTTTCCACTATAATTAAGTTCAACGAATGCTGCTGAGGGCCAACTGTATATACAAGGAATATATCAGATATTAAGGATTCCGATATTTGAGAGTACTTCAAAACATCTATGAAAAAATGAAATTAAGAGATGATAGGTATTTTCCAGGTGCTTTTTGAAGGCCCCTTATATGCATCAGTGTTAACCCAATTCTTAGATGTTTCAATCACAAAAATAGAAGCTTCTATATTATTACCACCACCACCTAGTTATACTGCATCACTCCCCTACTCCATGCACACTCAGTCTTCTGCATAGCAAGCTCTACAATATGCAGAAGGTTTTCCCATATCTCAGGGTCACCATTGCTACAGCTCTCCAGAGATTTGTGTATTTATTCCATTTGATATTGATCTTGGGGAGGCCCAACTTTAAACGGCCCCACCAGTGTTTTGTCTGACTCAAAAACAGAGAACAGAAAGTCAATTAACATGGGGCAGGTACACAATGTGTTGTACTGTAGGGGAGAACTCGGGATGGGAGAGGTTTATCATGAATGAGACTCCCAGGCTGAAAGCTAATGTAGTTCTCAGGGACTGATATCAATCCCTTCCCCGTGAGTGGCTTGCATTTACTGGAAGATACCACCAAGTACTGAAAAGTTTGTAGAAAAGTAGAACTAAAAGATAAATTTGAGGCAAACAATTCTGAAAATCATGTGGCTCCTTTTCTTAAAACATTTTCAGTAAGTTTAGGAAGACCCTTCATCTGTCAGAGGCATATTTAAAACTAGAAGGAGATACATGCTCCTGATGCAAAGAGAAAAGAGGTTTCCACCAGAGACCTGATGGCACTGACCTGCTCAGTGCCATCAGGCCCTCTTATTCATCACATTGGAACCATCTTTGTTACCTTCACATTTGCAGAAAGAATGCAGAGTAAATACAGGCAATTTTCAGTTTGTACCACCCAAACAGAAGGCTGTCCACTGAGCATGCAGCCATGGTTTATGCTAACATTTATAAGACTTTGACATAAGTTTTCAATCTCTGTGTAAACACTGAGATGCCAAGTTTGATCATGAACACATTAATTCACTGAGTCAATTTCTGAAGTTTTACTTTTTCCCAGGCCAGAATGGATGATGGAAATACATTAAATTTGGGTGATGGGTGAGGCCTCCTATCATACTTGTCTTCTCTGACTTGGTTTATTTTTCATCTGTTTCACTTAGCAGTCATATCTTGTCTACAGGTTACTTCCTAATTAACTTAGGTCCATTTGAAGCCCTCACTTTTCATTATTTGAACAGCATAATCTGTTATACTTTAGCAACTTTAATTTTCATGTGGGCATCAAATGATAAATAAAACAATTTTGTGTATATCAGAGCTACTGGTTTTAAGTCACACATGAGAAATAACTTTTCACACCCAGAATCCACTTAGGGGTCACCATGGCTTGCTGTAGTTTGAATCTACGATTTTGCATTCACATTTACACCATAAGGCACTCATTAATTGATGCCTGGTGGATATACCAAAAAAAAAAAAATATGTTCACATACACTTTCTAGTTTGCTTGCTAGTAGTCTAGAAACCTTGCCAATCAAATGACGTCATCACTTTAAAATCATTTAAAAATATTCCATCATTGTGAAATTGGGAACAGTTTCTTACCTACCTTCTATAGTGACTAAAGTAAAAGTTATTGAATTCATCTATAATTCATATAAATAAAAATATTTCTCAGCCGGCGCCGCAGCTCACTAGGCTAATCCTCTGCCTTGCGGCGGGTTCTAGTCCTGGTCAGGGCGCCGGTTCTGTCCCGGTTGCCCCTCTTCCAGGCCAGCTCTCTGCTGTGGCCCGGGAGTGCAGTAGAGGATGGCCCAAGTGCTTGGGCCCTGCACCCCATGGGAGACCAGGATAAGAACCTGGCTCCTGCCATCGGATCAGCGCAGTGCGCCGGCTGCGGCTGCCATTGGAGGGTGAACCAATGGCAAAGGAATACCTTTCTCTGTCTCTCTCTCTCTCTCTCACTGTCCACTCTGCCTGTCAAAAAAAAATTTTTAAAAAATATTTTTCTAACCAAATCTACGTCTTTTGAACCGAGAGAATTCTTTTTCCATATCCCTTCTAGTCCTGGGAAATAGATGTTTTAAGAATCACAGATATGGCTGGCGCCGCAGCTCAATAGGCTAATCCTCCACCTAGCAGCACCGGATTCTGTCCCGGTTGCCCCTCTTCCAGGCCAGCTCTCTGCTGTGGCCCAGGAGTGCAGTGGAGGATGGCCCAAGTGCTTGGGCCCTGCACCCCATGGGAGACCAGGAGAAGTACCTGGCTCCTGCCATCGGATCAGCGCGGTGCACCAGCCGCGGCGGCCATTGGAGAGTGAACCAACGGCAAACAGGAAGACCTTTCTCTCTGTCTCTCTCTCACTGTCCACTCTGCCTGTCAAAAAAAAAAAAAAAGAATCACAGATATGATCATACTTTCTGAATATTTGCTGTAGGAACCCAGAGTTGAAGCTTAAATAATGAAATCATAATCAAGCCATCTGCATAAAACAAAAATATCCTCAAGAATATTTTAATAACTTTGTAGAGATCTTGAGGATTTCAATGTCTCATTTATGAAATTTAATCGGTGCCCACTAAAGAAATCAGTCTCTGTTTCGTATTTCATTGTGTAGAGTTTCTAACTCCCAGCTACATTTCTATTTATATTAAATCATGCAGCAAAGTCACATTTCATTTTCTTTTTTACCTCTTTGGATCCAACAATGACAACAACAAACACACACACACAAAAACCTGGAAGAGGGCTCAAATAACCACTGAGAAATGGGATTCCTTCCAGAGATTATAAAGCCCAATAGAATAGAAATAACCTGAAATAAAAATATCTTAAGTTAACACTGACTAGAAGAGCTGTAGTCTTAAGATTCTAAAAGTTTTGGGGACACAGAGCAGGCAAAGACTGAGAAGAAAAGCTTTTACACCTGAGAAATGGGCATGGTGATACTTAACAACTGTATTGATTCATCCAGCCATTATCCAGGGATACCTTTTTCTGGTTGTCAATTAGGGTGTTTTTAACTTTTATTTATTTATTTTTTTGCCATCATTTTTGATAAATGTCCCCTGATCAAATCTCAAGAGACAACGTTTCCAGAGGGCAGACAGTGAAGAGAATTTAAGATGAAATACATCCATCTATCGATAGAGCTGTGCTTTCCTAATGGTTGGATTGAAGGGGATGTTTAAACTAATGGCAGTAACACGAGATCACAATTACCATGCCTAGAGCTGTTCTCAGATGTATTTTTATTTCTCTCATTTACAGACCTCATATTTGCATTTGGTGCTATTGCTGCTTTGTTCATCTGGTTTAGCCCCGTTATAATAACCAAAATTTTCAATTTAGTGTAAGACCAAGAACCTGTCTTTATTTATGCTTTCCAGGTGGAAGTGGGTTTTTAATCTTTATTGATTTGAGATGACTCAGTAAAGCACTTGGAGTA